GCGACATGGTGCCGCGCGAGAGGGCCTCGCTGAGGACCATCCCTAGCTCTGCTGCACGGGTTGGCTTGTTGCTGACGGAGACCTCGCCGAGGTGCTGCTTGGACAAGTCCACTCTCACGCCTAGGACGTCGAAAACTTCGCTGAAGTCGGCGTTCTTTTTGGGCTCCGTGGCCACTTGCCAGCCCAATTTGTTGAAGAGATTGGTCACTGCCAACGTGACGAGCTTCGCGTTCGCTCTGCGAGTAAGAACTGTAAAGTCGTCAAAGAAGCTCGTCATTACTAATGCCAGCTTCTCGCGGCCTATTGCTTTTAGCGCCTCGCTGCAGCGCAGAAAAGCGTGCACGGCGGCTACTGCACCAAAAGGCATGCTATGCAGGTGGGCAATTTTCACTTTTCCACTCTGTGGGTCCACCATTGCTAAACCGGGTTTCACCCTGTAGATCTGTCCGGAGCTAGCTGACGGGCGGGGGGGGGGGGTTCTTAGCGGAGGACTTGGATCCTAGGCGGATCCCGTGCGCTTTGTTTGAAAGAAGAAAATTTTCTAAGCTAGATTTTAGTTTTGCTTCTGCTTGAATTTCTTGAGTGATTTCCAATCCTTGTCTTTCCGGGTCAGTCCCGCAGTATCGCTGAGTCGTACTCTCGAATGGGTAGCCACGTCAGGCTCAGGCCGTGGCTCATGTCGTTTTCTTTAGAAAGGGAGCAAAAGTCTCCCTCTCGGGACGTGCCATGGATCTCGAGTGGCCTCCCCTCCAGGGGGAGTTAATGACGAAGCTGAAGTCATGCTTTGCAAGCCCCCGGCAGCTGCATTATGATTTTGATGATGACAGAGGAGCACGCAAATTAGTAGAGGTGCTGGTGCCAGGATTGGGGGCAGGCAACGTTCAGCTAGCAGTCGATCAGCTGGTCAAATGGCATAAGGAGGGCGCAGGCTCAGTGTTGCGCGCCAAGAGAATTGCTAGAGCAGGTTTGACGGATAGCTTGGTGGGGCAGCATACCGTTTCTGCTTCCGCTATTTCCGAGGCGTACGATAAGCTTGCACACAGCAATCCTCTCTCGCTTTTGCCTGCGATCGAAAGGGCCAGAAAGGCAAGGGAGAACAGCGTGGATCCATCAAAGAGGGCGGCTGAAGAAAAGGCTGCTAAGGCCAAATATGCTACTCTCTTGTATAGTTTCTTGGTTGAGGCGAGGGCACCAATAGTGGAGATTTTGAAGGAAGTCTCCGACTCTCTGAAGAGGCATGTGTGCGTATCTTTGGGACACGACGCTCAAAGACTCTGAGGAATCGCTTTCACTCGTGGAGCAAGTTCGCGAGGTGGCTAGAGACTTCGAAGGGCCGCGTCTGGCCTGCTGGGTTGCAAGATCTCTTGGATTATGCTACTGAGGCTGTGAAGGAGGGCGCTGGCAAGACGACCATAGATTCTTTTGCAGCGGCACTTTCTGTTCTGGAACAGGTCGGACGTGTTGGGGAAGGTGATATGCTGTCAAGAGATCCTACGTGGGTGTCATACAGCAAGAATGTCACTGCTGAGCTGGTGGAGAAGGGGCCGATGTTGCACCAGGCGGCACAGCCTACTGTAGCGATGGCGCTTTCACTTGAGCTTTACGTGTTTGACGAAGATAGAGCAAGATATGCAAGAGCTTTGGCTTTTGTTGCACTACTGATGCTTTGGGGAAGCATGAGGTCCGATGACGTTCAGTGCATGAGGCCAGAGAGCATGCGGCTCACTATAGAAAGTCTGTCTTGCAAACTTTGGAAGACAAAGACGACGGGTCCAGATCGAAGGATCAACATGGTGCAGGTCTTCATTTCCCGCAAGGCTAGTTTCTCTGGTATGGATTGGCTGGCAAAGGGACATGAGATTTGGTCAGAGATCAAGGACAAAAGAGATTTCTTGGTTTTGCAAGCTTCAGAAGATTGGGAAATCTGCGGCAACAAAGGGGTGGATGCCCCTGCAGTGCCGCTCTATGTGCGAAAGATCTACAAGGAGCTTTGTGTTCCGCGCTGGGTCGAGGGCCGCTGGATACAGAACAAGGAGCGTCTGTTACTTCCAGGGGATTGTGCACTACATTTCTCTGGGCATTCGGCGAGGAACTTTCTTACTTCGATCGCTGCAGCCATCAGAGTTCCTAAAGACGACAGGGACTTTCTTGGACGCTGGAAGGTCGGCGGAGGTGGTTCTGCTGACTACACAAGGACGGCTCGGCAGATAGTGCATCGCATCCAGGAGCAGGTTGCAGAGACTGTCTTGCTTGGGAGAGAGCGGGGATACGTGGAGGCCGATGCTTTGGATGCATTGCAAAGTTTCGCGGAAGAGCGAGGCGAGATTGGTGCTGTGGTCAGGGCAAGGCATGAACTTGTTAGAGCAAACAAAGTTGGGGGAAACCCCCGACTTGGCGGGCGCTACCCGCCTCTCTACATGCAGAGCATCCCCGGACCTCATGTGATCTCTGAGGAGGCAGCGGAGGACCAGCCTGAATCTGCCGCCGCTCCGAAAGGGGAGGCTAAGTATTTCATCAGTGTATAAGTAAGAAGACAGGATTCCGCAGACTGCATGTGAATCACGCGTGCTATGTAAAGCCCTTCAAGTGCCAAGACGTCGTATATCTTGATCAGGTGGCTGCCACGGATTTCGATGCAATATGTAAGGATTGCAAGCTCAGGATCAGGTCGATGGCAGATGACAACAAGGCCGACGACAGTAGCTCAGGGGAGGCAACCACTTCCTCGAGCGATTGAGGACCCCCTTTAAGCCTTGCTGCTGACCTTGACCGCAGGCCTGCTTTGGTTTCTGTGGCATAGATTTCACATGACACGAGCTGATTTTGGAACATGCTCAAAAGGGAAGCACATGTCGCTCTGAATCGCCCGTCTTTGAAGTTCTTGTCACTGACAGATGCACTGCTTCATGTACCGAATTGAGCGCTCAGGCTGTTGTTGGTTGCGCGCAACGACATTTACTGATCTCTGCAGTGCATCAGGGTTCAGACCTTGGGAAGCTGAAGCAAAGGCCTGAGGGCGCTCAGCGGGAAGCCAGACCGTAGGCTGCAGAGCAAAGGCCTCGAGGGAGGCGCTGAGTACCCGCATCGGGGATGGCAATCACAGAAGCAGAGATGCGTGAGAGAGTCAACAGTGTTGATGCCGACTTGCAATATGTCTTGCAGGAGGCCGGGGCATCCCTCGCCACACAGTATGCAGTGTGCAACGTGCATAGCACACTTCGCAGATTCCAGGCAATCGCCGATGATCGTGCAGGTTCGCGCACAGCTGCGAACACAGACTTTGGAGTGCCAACAGACACACCTGCAGGGCGCCAGCAAACGGCTGCCATAGTGGCAGCGTGGGAACTTGCCAAAGAGATTAGCTCTAAAGAAATTGAACTCCGGGCAGAGGCCCGTGCCCTCAATCAGCCCAGGATTTTGCAGACCCAGGAAAGGCAAGCCAGGCTGCGCGCGGTTTCAGCAGCGTATGGCAAGCTCAACGAGGCCGAAACACCTAGTGCAGAGTACTTGCTTACGTGCGAGGGACGAGTTAGTGTTTTATCACGATCATGGAAAACAAACAAGGAACGTGTTTGTTTAGGCAGAAACGTTTTGCTGCATTGAGCATGTGTGATGTGCCTGCATGTGAACGTTGCTCAAGTCGGAGCCGGGCAGAAAATTTCGAAAGGAAATTTTCGAGAGGGGAGAGTCCCACAAGTGGACCGGGAAGGGTCCTCAAAGAAGGAAGGTTTGCGGTTGTCTCCTCAGCGTGCGAGACAACAATATTTGTGTCGTTGAAGAGTGTAAGCGCGTGATTGCAATGGCATCAGATCAAAGAGATTCTGCTTCGGATATCCACAAGCAAGTGACAGTCTCAGACAGGGTTTTTCCTTGCAAGCTTCGTTGCATAGTCGCTCTTGACCGGGTGTTGGGGCCAACGATCAGCTCCACCCTACTGCTCATGCCTCAGAGAGAGAATGCACGCAGTGTTCGCACCGACACTGCAGGCGCAGTATTACAGGTTAGAAAAGGCATAGCTCTTTCCCGGGAATCCGTGCTCGCCTCAAGCCATGTGCAACAAGCGGAGACACGTATGAGCATCATGTCAGTGCTCAGATGAAAAGAAAGGCAGGTGAGGCAGACCTGCCCTGGGACACACCTCACGGATACATTTTCCGAATGCAGGTACAAGCGAATGATCGTATTTCTCATAACACGGCCGTCACGCTCGACATCCAGCTTAGTTGCAAGGACATTGTGGATCAAGCGAAGTGGCTTGTTGCTCAAAGACTCTTCGAGCTGTTTGGTCGTTTTCCGAAGTTGAGTTCTTTTCACCTGGTTCAGGACGGCAGGCACCTTAGTTTTTCAGCGCCAGTGCTTGTAGCGAATACGCTATCACCTGTGATCTTCGTGCGAAATGCCTAAAAGCAGGAGTCTGCAGTATGTGCTCTGCGGTCTTGCTTCCGTCGCAGAGAGTTCCAAGTGACCGCAGTGGCCCATCTGACATCAAGCCGCACAAGGCGAATCCGAGGTCCCCGGTGTCGCATGGAAATCGACAGCTCGGATTACAGCGGCGATAGCCCAAGTACGCTCAGTCTCGTCAGCAGACATGTTACTGAGCTCGAGCGCCGAATTTCCACCATCCAGGCGCATGTTAGAGCGTGCGAAAGGAGGATACTCATTCTTGAACATCGCGCAGAAGCAGTCGAACCTGGCACCCCACTCAACGCCCAGGGTTACTTGCCCTGGTTCATCAGATGCTGCTGGAGCCGCGCACTGCCCTGACTCACCATCAGGGTATGTCTGCATCATCAAGGCAATCGACAGGCAGTGGGTCGGTCACTGAGAGAACACCTGCGGTCTCCCTGATGACGCGAGTTTGAATAAGCAAAAGTGTGCGTTTCTAGTGCTCCAGAGTATTGTGCAGTTCTGTCAGGCATCCCAGCGGAGATGTGTTTGTCAGGGACAGCTCCAGGAACAACCCGTAGACTGCAAATGTAGCCGTATGCAGCTCAGACACCATGTCGGCAAACAGTGAAGAGGTTTTTGAGCGGGATGAAGACATGTCGTCCTGGAGTTCGGCGTTCGCGCCGGTCAGTAAACCAGCAGATTCTCCGAAGAGCAAGCGCAAGAAGCATAAGAAGCGGAAGAAGGTGAAGAAGAGACACTCCACGACACAGGAGCGCAGGCGATGTGACAAAGAAGAGACCAAGAAGCGAAAGAAGAAAGAGAGGAAGTCGGCATCAGTCCCGGAAGATGCCGACAATCGGGCAGAGCAGTTGCCCTCCTCCAGCTACACCGCCCGAGACCCTCAGGAGCAGGAGGGTTCAGCCCACGAAGGGCTTCCCGCCAACTTGGGCAGGTGGGTCTTCCATGCCTCTTGGGAACCGACAGAAGAAGGAGACCAGCCGGAAGCGCCTCCCAAACGCAGTCCGGGGAGAGCAGCTGCGAAGATGCTGGTTCGCGCCGGCCTTCGCTGTAAATGTCATTTCGCTCTCGACTGCCCCTCTCGAGAAGGCAACAGGCACGGTCCCCAGAAGTCACTTCCTGTCGTTTTCAGACACATTCCTTGAGCAACTCTGGCCCGCGAGGGATCGCTAACACGGGCAACTCGTGTTCGAGGCCAATGCAGTGACGTGCAGGGCTGGGAGAGTTTCCTGCGTGAGCAAGACGCACCCTCGCAGAAGCCTATGATGTTTATGCTACTCGAGCCGGCTCAAGAGCTTTCAGTTTTCACCTTCGTTTCACCCTCCGTCTCACAATGGTGACGCCATTCAGCTTCGGCGCATCGCCCTACCTCCCCACTCGCATGGGCAGAGGTCGCAGAGACGACTCCGACTCCTCTGACAGTGAGGAGATGATTCCGACGATCTACGGGCTCATGCCCATGAGGCGAAAAGCTAAGAAGAACCGCAAGCACAAGAAGAGCAAAGAGTCCAAAAGAGACCGACGCACCAAGAAGAAGGCGTCGAAGAAGCGCGCACCCAAGGCAAAGAAGAGCTCGTACAGCTCTGAATCCTCCTCGTCCTCGTCTTCGCCGGAACGCCGCCGCCACAAGCGCAAGGAGCGTGCGGAAGCCGCTCCCTCTAGCCACAAGGGGGAGTCTTACCACACACCGTCCTTTACGAAGGACCATTCCTTTGGAAGTGGCAAATGGGGCGGACAGAGCTCCGGGTGGAAGCAGCCAGGCTGGCACTCGAACAAACAATGGCAAGCCAAGTCTTGGCAGCCCAGAGGCTCCGGCAAGCCCTGGAACACTTGGACGGCGCATGAGAAGGGTTACCAGTGGAAGCTCCCCGAACAGGAAGAAGAAGCCGAAGATAGGGAGGAAGCTTCCATGCAGGAAGCACTCATGAAGAGTGCAATGGAGGAGGCGTGGTCCGACCGCACTCGGACTTTGTCCTACAGTGAACTCCCGGCGGATCAGCGCGGCCCCCCCTACAAAGAAGTCATGGAGAATGTGGAAGCTGATGACATCGAGCGCATGGCCGCGCGGATCAAGGAGCACTCCCGCCTCCCGGAGGCAATGATCAACTATGTGTCCCGGTTCCTGGCCTCCCTCCCCGACGGGACGCTGCCGCAAGAGTTGAAATGGGCGCAGCATTCAGGATCGCATTTCTCCGCCTCGATCCTCGAACTGGAGCTTAAACCCGACATCGCCGCGCCGGAGCAGCTCCAGATCCCGGACCCCGTCCACTCGCAGAGTCTGACGGCCGCTCACGGCACGAAGTGGTCCTCGGCTCACGGCATTTTGAGCCAAAAGATCATCCGCCCTCAAGCAGCTCAGACCGACCAGTACCCGCCATACGGGTTCTTCGCCCGTGGCAGCTGCGAGCAGTACTCCTCGCACACGGCAATGAAGGCCCTGGAAGGGGTTGCGAGGAAAGCAAAGGCCTCGGGAAGTGGCATCGCAATTTTGGTGTCCGCAAGGGCACACGCGGTCCAACTCTTGGAAGGAGGCGTGGGCAAGCTTCATGCAGCTTGCAGAAGAGACTGGGCGGCGCGATCCTCATCGGACCAAAGTCTGTGCATCAGGTCGGAGGGCGCGACCATAAAGGCCGTGGCGTTCATGTGGCCGCGGTAGTTGCCTCCAAATCTTTTCATCTAGTTCAGTCCGAGGGACTCGAACGACCTCGGGAGATTTTGTTGTCGGGGCTCCCGGGATGATGACGAACTGCGCAACCACCGCCGAGAAAAGAAGCCGAAGCTGCCGCTTGGCTTGGAGATTGCACCCACTGAAGCGAGCATACTCCTTCGGATCATCGGATGCTAGGAAACTTGATGCATTCCCAAGGAAGACCGCCCGCGCCTCAGCAACGTCAAGCCGTACTTGAGTCATGTAAGGGTTCCAAGCATCGAGTGTCAGGAAAGACAGTGAGGGAGCATCCCAGAGAAACTGCCCACAGAAGGGCGAAACTGGCCCTGAGTGTGCCGCGGTAAATCGCTCTGGGAGTCAGAGCTGTGACGTTTCGCGAAGAAGCAAGCTTCGCTAGAAGTCCTCCGAGCAGAGGAAAACGCAGCGGGGAGATCCGCAAAACTCGCCGTCGCATGTCGCAGTTGTTTTCTGCTGAGCCTCTTGCCGTGTTGCCTTTGTCCGTGCAATTTCCTCGTTTGTCCCTGCGTTCTGCTCGAGCAAGCCGTGTCACAGTTTTGAGCCACGCTGAAAGAGAATGTATTGCCAGGACGGGCCGAGGAGCCCTTGCTAGATCACGAGGTGGAGTAGCCTCACAAAGAAGCGAGCCTACGGCATTTAGGGAAACTGACAGGTGTGTCGTGTCAGTCTCACCCAGCAGCATGGCGGAAGAGAGTGAAATCGACAGGCTGCTCGATTTGGAGCGGCTAGCAGAGTTGGAAGATCCAGGTGAGTTGGATCAGTGGCCAGAGCAGGAACGGCCCGAAGCAACATTAGCGCTCACGCCAGCTGAGTCAGAGCTTTTCTCTGCATCGGCCAGTGCCCGGCCCCAAAACCAGCAAAGTTCGCCGAGCGGCGTGCTTCAAGGGCGCGAGTACGAGCAGGCCCTGCAAGGCTGCTTGTTGAGGGCTGCTAAACGGCCAAGAATAGTCATGCCTTGCTCTTGGAGCCGCGGAGGGCCTATCCAAGGAAGTGTGGGAGAAGACCATAACGGAAGTTTCGAGGGGATGGCTCAAGGGACCCATGGAGCCTGATGATGCCGATGCGCCCTCGGTCGTGTCTAATCGCTTTGGGGTTAAGCAGAGGGACAAGGTACGGTGCGTCGACGATATGTCGGCTAGTTTGATAAACGCTACCACCTTCGCGGAGGAAAGGATATCTCTTCATTCCGTAGATGTCATGGCTTCCGCTGTGGTTGAGTGGTGCGACGCCAGAGACGCCGCGCAGAGGCCTCGCGACTTGACCGCTAAGAGCTTCGATCTTAAGTGGGCCTTCAAGCAGATGGCAGTGTCGGCGAGCTCCAGAGACAGGGCGGGACTAGTCATCAAGGACCCGTCTGGCTGCCCCAAGGTCTTTACATCGCTGGCCCTGCCCTTCGGGGCCACTCAGAGTGTATACGCCTTCAACAGGATGAGCAGGGCACTGTGGACCCTAGGAGTCGTGGCCCTCAGTCTCATGTGGACGGTTTTCTTTGACGACTTTTGCCTGTTTTCGGAGCCCGCCCTGGAGAAGAGCTCGGACCTGGCTGCAAGGTCCCTCTTCGATATCCTTGGATGGGTGTATGACACCTCTGGCGAGAAAAACACGGTCTTCGGTAGGACACTACACGCTCTAGGAGTCAGCGTCAACCTGAGACATCTCACCAAGGGATCGCTACTCATCAGCAACACTGAGGCAAGAATCAGTGAGCTCGTGAGCGAGCTCTCAAACATTCTCGACAGGGGAAGAATATCGAGATCCGAGGCCAGGCACATGGCGGGGCGAATGAGTTTCGCCGGAGGGCAAATCTTCGGTCGACTCCCGAAGTCCTGTCTTAAAGTATTCTACTCCGTTTTGGAACGGAACTCTACCGCAATTGACGGAAGCATCTCCGCAGCACTTCGGATGTACATTGACATCGCTCAGTTCGCCCCAGCGAGGACGATTCTCCTGGGTCAGAGGCCCTGCGTCTTTATATACACTGACGCGTCCCTGGAACCGACTAAGGAAGGAAACGTCGCGGGAATAGGCGGAGTCCTGTGCGGACCCACTGGAGAGCCCCTGAGGTTCTTCTCGTACTTCCCTAGCTCAGCTGAGCTTGCTGAGGTGGGAATAGACCTAGAGTCTAAGTGCATCTTCTTGCTCGAGTTGGCTGCAGTCTGCTTGGCGTTCAAGGCTTGGGGCGAGGCCCTCAGAGGAATGAGAGTCGTATGCTACTGTGATAATGAAGGCGCCAAAGCCTGCCTTATGACTGGAGCAAGCGCTAACAGAGTCGCAAACGACTTGCTGAAGCATCAAGCCGCATATGAGCTCAAGACGGGGACTGTACCCTGGATCGCGAGAGTCCCGTCAAAATCGAACATCGCGGATGAACCCTCGAGAGTTAGGATCGAGGCTCTCCCAGACTTTCCCGACGCAGTACGGTCCACGGTAAGCGTCGATCTTATAAAAGATGGGGAAAGTTCTCTCCGCTTTCAGTGACCCGATCTGTCGGGACAAAGATCTTGGAATGACTCACAAGGACGGAGACTTCGTCATCCCCACATGGAAAAAGAGAGAGCGATCTGCGTGGAAGATATTTGATTGAAGATTCTTTTATTGAAGATATTCCATTTGATTGAAATTTTCTGCCGGTCCTGTGAGTGATAAGCTTACGTGCGAGGGACGAGTTAGTGTTTTATCACGATCATGGAAAACAAACAAGGAACGTGTTTGTTTAGGCAGAAACGTTTTGCTGCATTGAGCATGTGTGATGTGCCTGCATGTGAACGTTGCTCAAGTCGGAGCCGGGCAGAAAATTTCGAAAGCCCGCCCACCCGCACCTTTTTCTTCAGTCATGCGAGTCTTACAAATTCCAGAGATCTGGTGCACCGTCAGCTTGTACCTGAGGACCAGAAGACAACGTCGCCTCAGCGCGACTGCCAAGGTCTTCCGAGCGCTGTTCAGGCGTTGGTTTCAACCAACAGGCTTCACTGACAGCAGCGAGTACGAAGAGGAGGAACCAGAAACCTCTCCTGGCAATTAGTCCACTTCTCAGAGAGCGCACAGCCGAAGCTTCGTCACCCTGTCAGGCTGTAACCTCTAAGGCTGAACCTCTGAGCGGGGGGGGAAAGTTCTCTCCGCTTTCAGTGACCCGATCTGTCGGGACAAAGATCTTGGAATGACTCACAAGGACGGAGACTTCGTCATCCCCACATGGAAAAAGAGAGAGCGATCTGCGTGGAAGATATTTGATTGAAGATTCTTTTATTGAAGATATTCCATTTGATTGAAATTTTCTGCCGGTCCTGTGAGTGATAAGGCTTTGAAAGCAGAAGAGACCGAGCAGAATGAACCGACTGCGGCACAGCTTGATACCATCACTTCGAAGCGAGATTCTCAGACAGCCACCGTCCAGTCTAGTGTTGATCCTGCCGGACATTTGCGCATCACGAAAACCAAACAGAAAGTCGAGATGCCTCAAAACTCTGAAGCTTACCGGAGAGTCTTGAAGATTGAGGGTTACTCTTGGTTGGCGATGCAGTCCAGGTATAAATCCAAGACTTGGCTTCAGGGCTTGACGATGGCGGATTTCACCAAGTTCGTCGACTACATCCTCGGCGAGCGGGTCGCGGGTCTCAGATTGGAGCAGGCCACAGGCTACGACAGCAGCCACAATGCACTCTTCCGTCCCCCATGGGGGATCGTGCTTCGCTATGAGTACAAGTTGAGGAAAGAAGCGTTCAGGCTAGTGAATGATGAAGGTCAGACGCTTCAAGATGCTTTGGCTGCCGTGACTAAGGATACCGAGCTTAAAGAAGTTCATTTTGTCACTCCCCTAACCTTGACCGCTTTCCCCATGCCATCAAAGTGGACACGCAGGGGGGAGAAAGGTGAGAAGGGGGGGAAAGGCAAGGACCCCAGGACGGGAAAAGGCAAGCAAGGAAAGGGAAAAGGCGAAGAAAAAGGTGCTTTCCGAGGCCTGCAGCTAGTCTGGAGGACGCCCGATGGCAAGGATATCTGTTTCGCATACAACAATCAGGGTTGCCAGGGCAACTGTGGGCGCGCACACGTGTGCAGGGTCAAGGGATGCTACAAAGAACATCCGGCCATTCGCCACCAGGAGCTATCGCAAGGCAACAACAAAGCCGAGTGACGGTCCCCAGCCGCTGGCCTCAAAATCATGTGCTTCGGTCTGCCCTCCGTGCAGGCATACCTTGCATTGCAGTCGGGGGTCAGCGAGTGCAGGGGATACGAGTTTCACGATCCTAACTTGATGACTGATCGGTTTTGGGATTCAATTATGCAGTGCTTGTGCCAGGGAGATTGGATTTTCTTGGCAAGTCCGCCACTTGAAACCATGTCGCGGGCCAGGCACAAACGGCCAGGACCGGCCCCACTCAGGTCGGAAGCATGGCCCACAGGTTTTCCATGGTTGTCGGATGACAATAGAATTAAGGTTGAGAAGGCAAATTCCTTGTTCCAGCGATGTGTAGAAGCTGCATCCGCCTGTGCATCCGCAGGAGGCTGCTTTGTGCTTGAGAGCCCTGAGGATTTGGGTGCCACCAAGGACGGTGAGCGACCGGCGTCATTTTGGCAGTTACCTCAGGTGCGCGACTTGCAAGTTCAGCGTAATGCCACAACTTGGGCATACTTCCGTTGTGCCTTCGGTGCACCTACTGCTAAACCCAGCCGCTTCCTCTGCAATTCCGAGCGGCTGAAACATCAGCTGCCACCGCACAGCATTTGGCCCACATTCGATGCTGAAGGCCGCTACGTGGGCCCGCTCCCCCCACGCTGCCCTCACAGCCATCATCCCAAACCTTTGGTAGGACGCCAAGGTCGTGATTGGAGTACGGCCACCTCTGTCGAGTGGCCGGCAGCTCTGTGTGATCACCTCTTGCGTTCCATCCTTCCTTCGGTGCTGCGCACAAGGGGGGACGCAGGAAGGAATGCTGGCCGACCGGAGGGTCCTCGTTCTAGCACTGCCGATAGTCCCTTGTCCTCCCCTGCAGTTCCCTCCATTTCGGTTTCCCCAGCTGCTAGTGGTTTAGTCCCCCAGGCAGATAGTGATGTAGGCCCCCAGGTTGGGGCAGGCCCCGATTCGTCGGAGGCACATGCACACAACGCCGAGGCTTTAGCTTGTGAGATCCTTTCGAAAGACGAGGCGCCTCGCGCCGAGGACATCATTCGCTTGTACGAAGCTTTGCCGAAAGAAGTGTCAGCCCGTGACCCCGAAGGCCGCATCCCGAGCTCTTTCTCCACGGGTGCTTACAACAAGGGAGGCTTGACAGGCCTGAGGAAGGCATGCCACGATTTCCCGCTGGCCACCAAGTGCTTGGTCCGGTTTGTTCGGAGCATGCATCCTTTCCATCCTTTCAGCACTATCAGCATTTACGACAATGTGTGCACTGCCCTCCATAGGGACAGCCGCAATGCTTGCTGCGAGAACTTGATTATCCCTCTTACCCAGTTTTCGGGGGGTGAGTTGTGGATGCAACAAGACAAGGGTGCTACACCTCAGAACTTTGGAGGCTCTGAAGTGTTTGGGACGGCTGTGCCGATTCCCCCGGAAGGCCTCTGCTTCGATGCTCGTGGCATCTTGCATTGCACCATGCCTTGGAAGGGCCGCCGACTGATTGCCGTTGCATTCACGGTGTCGAAGACTGAGGAGCTGAAGCAATCGGATGCGCGGCTTCTTGAGGACCTTGGAATCAACTGCCCTCCCGCAAGTCAGTTGACAGGAAGGACCTTGGATGCCGGGGAGCTGTCATCGACGGAGAGCTCGGAATCGGAACCGCCATCTGGTGGTTTGGACCAGCAAGCAGACGATGTCTTCAGACCAGAGCTTTGTGGCAACTTCGGAAATCCCTTGATGCTGGAGTGGGATGGGAGAGAGTCGCCTATCACTGACGGCTATGGTCTTTGTTCTCCAACGCGTTGGCATCCTGCCTCCCGTGGAGCATCGCTACCAGAGAAATCAAAGGACCTGTCAAGACGCTTGAATGGCTTGGTGCAGCAGTTTGTCGCAGAGCAGGTGCCAGACTGCCAATTGCTGGCACTCAAGTTGGCCACCGGGCAGATTCTGGAATCGCCTTTTGATGAAGGTGCGATGCGACGCCTTCGCGAGGACTGGGCTGCACTTGTATGCGAGACTGACGGAGCCAAACACGAAGGCTTGCTGGAAGTTCCTGATCCGCAGCCTTTCTATCTTCGGTTGCTCTCGCACACGTCGCGCTTGCTGGAAGACCCAGACTGGAAAATCTTGACAGAAGGCGAGGAGTGCTTTGAGAAAGGTGTTCCATTGGGCTATGACGAGACCATACCTAGGGTGCCGCAGGTCTTCGATCGGAAGGTCAAATGGAGAAAACTTGATGAGAGCACTTTTGAGGCTGTCAAAGAAAATTACCAGAGCGCGAAGCTCACCGTGCAGGAGATGGAGATGAAGTTCAGGGAGGAGGAGAAGCTTGGGCGAATGTACCCGACCACTTACTCCGCTTTGGCGGCCGAGCATGGAGCGGACAGGGTACGTATAGCAGCGATGGGAGCGGTCGCCAAGCCAGATGGCAGCGTCCGTCCCCTACATGATGGCACCCACGGGGTGAAGATCAACAATGGCATTCGGTTGCTGAACCAAACGGCCACGCCTGGCCCTGCGGAAGTGGCACACGCCTTAAGCTCTGCTAAACGGTCGCGCGAGGCTGCCTTTGGAATCTCAGCGGACGTAAGTGCGGCACACCGTCTTGTCAAACACAGGCGTCGGGACCACCCCTTGATGGCATGCAAAGCAGATTCTTCAAGCACCGTCGTTTGGGTTAACGTTGTAGGAACATTCGGACTGAGTGTCGCTTCATTTTGGTGGAGCAGATTGTTCGGACTTGTGGGCAGGACAGTCGCCCGAGCAATGCTTCAGGAATGGTTCTATCAACTTTGCTTCGTGGACGACATCCACGGTGTGTTCACTGGAGCACATAAGTTCCGAAATCTGGTGATGTGGTTCGTCTTGTACCTTGCCTTAGGGACCCCTTTCTCCTTTAAGAAATTTCGGGGAGGTTTTAAGGTTCCCTTCGTGGGTTTTGAGCTCGACTACCGATCATGGCAAGTTGGCATGTCGGACTCTCGAGGAGCTTGGATCGTTTCATGGATCAAAGATGCCAAAACCAAACGCTTCGTGGTTCAGGTCCGACTCTTCAGGGAGTTCCTTGGCCGGTTGGGGTTTGTCTCTAGGATAGTGGTTTGGATTAAGCCTCACCTTGCTCCACTGTATGCGTGGGCATCAGCGGTGTCCCGGAGCACCGTCGCCAAGTTGCCTGAGACTGTCATCTTGACCCTCCTTTACTTGGAGAGAACGCTTGACGAATACACTTTTAAGGTGAACCCCTGCCGCAAACCTAAACACCAGGTCGCGGGCTTCAGGACAGATGCAAAATGTGCCGACGGATTCGTCGTGTTGGCCGGTTGGGAGCTAAGCGATGACACCAAGACTTCTAAGTGGTTTTCGCTGCGCTTGACACCGAGTGATGCACCATACTTGTTTGATCAGGAGGGAAAATCACAATGGGCATCAGGCTCAGCAGAACTGCTGGCAACATTGGCGGCCCTTCACATCTTCGGATACTTGACCGCCTCTGTGGACAGAAAGGAATTGGACGTTGAGTGCGCTGCGGACACAGACAATCAGGGCAACTCGAGATTGCTCAAGAAGGGGTCATCAACAAAGTGGCCCCTCATGTTGATCAACATGCAGTTGTCTGACCTGCTTCTTCGCTCTTCCTTGAAGCTCCTCCTAAGGTGGAGGCCGCGCGATGAGAATCAGTACGCGGACCAACTCACGAACGAGATTTTCACCAACTTCTCGGACGAACTCGCATTGCATGCAGTTACTCGGATTTGCCTCTTTCGCTTCTGCATCAGTTGTGGGAGACCAAAGAAAGCTTCGACTCAGCACGAAGGGCTCAGGCCGTGCTGCAACAGGATGCCTCGGGGCATCGTCCTCAGAAGAGGAAGGCAGAGAAAACTCCTTGGTAGTGCGTCCCTGAAGGGGAAAGGGGGTTGGATGCATCAACATGCATCCGCCCTACCAAGGGCACCGCGAGACTACCAACCGCTGCGAATAAAACGAGTGTCGTCCGAGTGCTCTTGATTTTCAGATATATATTTCCCTTTTGGATTCATTTGGAAGTTACATTATTTGATTCGCTTTTATAGAAAGACGTTTGCGTAAATAACAACTGATTTGAAAGAACGGAGTGCCCCAACCTCTAACCACGAAGCTATGCGAAGGACAGGCTAAACCGGGTTTCACCCTGTAGATCTGTCCGGAGCTAGCTGACGGGCGGGGGGGGGGGTTCTTAGCGGAGGACTTGGATCCTAGGCGGATCCCGTGCGCTTTGTTTGAAAGAAGAAAATTTTCTAAGCTAGATTTTAGTTTTGCTTCTGCTTGAATTTCTTGAGTGATTTCCAATCCTTGTCTTTCCGGGTCAGTCCCGCAGTATCGCTGAGTCGTACTATCGAATGGGTAGCCACGTCAGGCTCAGGCCGTGGCTCATGTCGTTTTCTTTAGCCCACCCGACCCACCCTGGAATGTCAGCACATTCCGAGAATCGTCTATGTCAGCACATTCTGACAATAATCTTCCATGCCGCGGGGGGTTGGATGCATCAACATGCATCCGCCCTACCAAGGGCACCGCGAGACTACCAACCGCTGCGAATAAAACGAGTGTCGTCCGAGTGCTCTTGATTTTCAGATATATATTTCCCTTTTGGATTCATTTGGAAGTTACATTATTTGATTCGCTTTTATAGAAAGACGTTTGCGTAAATAACAACTGATTTGAAAGAACGGAGTGCCCCAACCTCTAACCACGAAGCTATGCGAAGGACAGGCGATGCAGGCAAATTTCTTGTGTGCGGCTTGCACTGCGAGCTGCTTGTAGGCGCTCTTCAGGTCCCAGGTCCTGCCCACGATGCGATGCGCCTGCTCTGCAGGCACCCCCTGGCGTAGCCATTCGAGGCATACTGCCAGGAGCTCGTCGATGCTATCGACCTGCACCTTCTCTGTGGTGCCGCAACAGCTATTGATAAAACTGCTTTTGAAGTTGTCTATGGGGCGAACTTTACCCTTTTGCACTACGCCAAAACGGGACGACACTATCGTCTCGTGCAGGTTGGCTGGCGAGAAGTCTTCGAGAGAGAGCCAGCCCTGCTGGCTCTCCTCTAACGTGGTCTTCCAGACTTTGTCGGAGACGCCGTCCTGGGAAGGGCGTAGCGCGCTGCGCACGCCCCGCATGCCTATGCCGTGGGAATTCTGCAGAATGGACTCTGCGTCCAAAGAAGGTGGCAGGATCTGCACGGGCCACATGTACAGCCCGCTGGGCTGTATCCAGCCGAGGAGGGGGAAACCTTCTCGCACCTGCTTCGCCAGGAGACTGTCGGGGAAGCTGACTTCCCGCAGAAGCTTTTCTAAAGCGATTGTCTGCTTTGGGAGGGTAACACTGTTAACCTGGGCGTCGTTGGAGGCGCGGGCCTTGGCTTCGAGCGCCTTACACTCTGTGCAGGTCTTGGAGATATGCAAGGACGCCATGGTACGGCGCTTAGCAAGGGAGACGGTGTCCTCGTGAACTTCGGAGGAGATGGCGCGTTTGAGGGACAGGGGCACCGCCTCGATGTCCCTGGCCGGGTGATCTATGAGGTGCGCTCTGCGCACCCAATGCAGAGGTTGCAAAGGGATTGCAATGATGGCTTTCTGAGTGGCTTCGATCCACTGGATGAGCTTGGAACCTTTGGGGAAGCAAGACCACGAAGGTGGCAACTTCTGCGGAGTCTTCCATCCCCTAAAGCACCGCGCTGCGGCACCTTCCAGAGTGACTTTGTCGCTGAAATCTGGCTCGTAACGCAAGCGACGCTGACGCTTGCGGGAGAGGGGCGCTGCCCGAAGCTGTGCGGCACATTTCTCTGCGGCCAGGGAAACCCACGCAGAGCTGAGCTGCGTGGTGTACGCACTTTCCAGGGACGTGGACCACACTGAAGACCCGTCCACGGAGGCTCTGCCCCATGGCAAGTGCCTGTGGCCTCCATCGCAATCTCTGCTGAGGCCCGAGAACCAATCCAGGTTCGACAGAAGGGCCGCACGCTTACGGCGTAGGCTGCCGAACATGCAAGCGTCAAACTCCACTCTGTGGGCAGATCGTAGTGTCTCTCTGAGACACGGCATCCGCCAGAGCAGGCTTCTGGCTGGATTCTCGATGGACCAACAGACGTCTCGCTGAGACAGTCTGTGACAGCACTGTGCCATGAAAGCTACGAGGCTGTTCGCGCTGCGAACTCTGGCGGCATCAACCCCGCTGAGGCCTTTGAGGCCGGCTGGGCGCGACTCGCTACGCAGGGGGCCTGGCGCTCCAGGTCTGGGGATCTCTCTAGCTCTGCTAAAGGTGACTTTTGACTTTTGACTTTGAAGCGCAGACAGGTTGGATCCATCTTACGTGACACGAACAGAACTTCGTTCCGGCTGCAGTGCAGCTAAAATTCGTGAAAGTTGCAAAAGATTGCAAGCAAGCTGCAATGGTAGAGAAGCTGTACAAAGCAAAGAGGCTGTCACCAGCCCAAAGCAAAGTCAAGACACTGAACACGGGATCAGGGATGCACAAGCGGTCACCCTCGCTGTGACACTTACGGAAAGGTGGGAACTACAATGTGGTCGCCTTCACATGTGAAACCGCGGCAACAACACTACCTCCTACCTACACTTAAGCAACCCTCACAGCTCAGAGTCATAAGAAAAAAGAGTCGAAGGAATCATGAGATATATCGGAATCCACATCCCGCTCAGTTGGAGCAACATCTGAAGCCACATCCGAAGCAGTGGAGAGCAGTCTGGCCTCATCAGAGGCCAGAGCATCGTCCCAGGCCCATGAGTATTCACTTTCGCGAACAAGCAAGTGGAACGGCCGAGGGTCCTCCCGCATGCGATGTAGAATAAGTGTATATGCCATCTCGAAGAAATCTTCCTTATGATCTCCATCCAGCATCAAACGAAAGAATGCAAGCTGGTGCCACATATCAGCACCCTCAAGTTCCTCAAGTGTCTGCCGAGTGATGGCTTGACGATGCTCCAAGCCCGCCGGAAACTGCTCAAAGTAGATACGGATACCAGCATCACGAATCATATATATCTGTATACCACGAATGACCAAGTACATCGCCAAAGTTTCATCTGAAAGAATCGAGGAAGCCGGCATGCCCAAAAGTACACGCTGCCATGTCTCACCACACTGCGCTTGCCCAGGAGAGTGCAAATGCCCAGCAGCACCACATGTCATCACGGCATCCGCCGCATGTGACACTGAAGACAATGCATGGCCAGTCACATCAAGCGCTCGCGACATGTAGAAACGCAAACACTAATGAAACCCACTGACCCTGGAGCAAGCACAGACAGAGAGGCGGCATCAGGCATGGAGCGCATCACCCGACAGGACAGGCTGCGTCGCACGTTGCATGAAGAGCAAGTAGCTTCGGGACGCCAAATTTTCAAGCTCGGATGTTCCACAACGCACAGCCTGACGGTCGTCATCTGTGATGTAATGCACAGCACTTGCACCGGCATTCCCCGACCCCTGCCCCATCAGTAAAACACGGTAGTGCCCCGAGGACACCTGAGCACCATAGTGCAACACCACAGCTGTGGTGTGATAAATCTGATGATGCACGGCATGCCGAGAGGTGCACACTGGCAAGCATAGGCGACCCGGAATGGGCAGCGCGGCATTGTCACGAACCTGAAAGACCCCACGACCCTTAAAACGGTCAAGCTGAAGTACAACCCACTCGGCATCTGAGCGAAACGCATGAAGGTGCCTTTGCTGGTGCCAGTCGTCCACACTGGCCTGGATGTCCGGATGCAATTGTTGATCTGGTCTACGCATGGGAATGAGGACAACGCCAGAGCCCCGATCACGCGTGAGTGATCCATCATCCCCATCCGGAAAAGCCTCCCATGGACTGAGAGCGAGGACGGAGTCGACCGAACTCAGAACATGCTGCAAGAACTCGGCCGCGTCATGCTGCCGATAGGGCTCCGACCACTGATCTGCCAAGCTGGACCACGCAGTCAAGTTGCGCAGGGTGAGGGCCTTCGACACTTTAGCAGTTTGCACAGATCTGAGCACCTGCCCCAGGTGGGTGCATGCGAACCTGTGCCCAGCATAGCAGATGGGCTGAAGCAGCCTAGACAGTGCCAGGATAACCGCATTCGCATAACACTGATTTCCTGGGTTTCTGAGGATCACACGACTCAGAGTGCATTCAACAGCTCCTGAAGTTTCTCCAGCTGCGCGGGACGCTTGAGCCTTGCGCGACGAAGTCGCCCTGCTAGCAGTTCGAAGACCGCCAGCTCGCACCAGTCCAACATGATGTTGTGAAGCTCCTGCTCCCTCAGACTGAGGTCCAACAGAAATGGAATGCTGGCGTTCTCCGTCGTCTCCGAGAGCAGGGCGATGGCCTGAAAGCGGGTGATCACATCCGGTCGGCGCACAATCGCCGTGGCTTTGTCGATCTGCTCCAGGAATGTGTCCGCCTTCAGGGGCATTCGCTTTTGGTCGACTTCCAACTTCTGGCTCGTGGCGTTCCAGATCCGGTAGTTCCAGTCGCCTTTGTCGTTGATGATGCCCAGTTGCTGTGCCTCTGCTTTCGCCTCCGGTTTCCGAACCAACTGAGCCCGTGCCGCAAGCTCGAGGAAGAGGCATTCGATCATGTGCTGGCGGAGAGGCCGGTCGAGCTTTTCCGGGGTTTCCTTCATCAACTTCTTCCAAGCCGAAGTGACCCGAAACATCGTGTTGGTGATCGAGCCTGGTTGCGGAGGGGTCTGAAGAATCAGGAAGAATCCGGTGTCTAAGGACAGGCGCTGTAACTGATCTCCTTGCCGAAGTAGAACCTGCGCCATGAGGCGCACCAATTCCTCCAAGGAAGTACCGTCCGAGATCTTGGGTCCCTGCCCTCCTCCCCGTCCCCACTGTCGGTGACCGCGACCGCGGCCTTTGCCGCCCTGATGATTCCCCTTCCTGGGTCCGGGAGCTCCCGGCTTGGCAATCTCCCTGGGCCGTTTGGCATTGGGGAGGTCCGCATCCATGTCCGCTATCTCCGCTAGCTTCGAGGCTGCCGGTAGCAGATGTCCGAATAGGACGGACGCCTGAGCTGACGCCTGAGCTGCTTCCGCCTGAGCGATGCGTGAGCTCGCACTGTATCAGACACGCTTGTTGCATCACAACACACTGGCCTGCATGTTGGCGCGTGTCCGCAATACTTGCTCCACAAACGGAACACGGGCAAACGCACGATCGAGCCCACTGCTTGCCTGCATGCACGAGCATGGCCTCATGCCTTTGCATGATTTCAGGATGTTGCTGACGAATGTGCCGTTTGATCTGGTTTGAGGTGGCTAGCCACTGACCGCAAATCGAGCAATGATGCTTCAATTTCTGCACAACACCAGGCACAGCTACAAGATCGGTCCATCGCCTAGGATTGTGTGGTGGACGTTGGCCTCTGTCTGGGGATGTTGAAATCATTAAATAATGCAACATAAATGCATTTGGAGATATGGACCTGTTTACCCAAATGCAACTTGAAAATGCAGCTGCTTTCCAAATGCGAATGATGAAATGCAAACAAAATGGAATGGTCCTTGAAAAAATGCAAATGCTTTGCAAGCTGTTCTCAAAGATGAATATCATATCGTTGAAATTGTAATAAACTTTGGAAATGCTTCTTCAACCATACAAATGATTTGGAGTTTAGTGTTTTTTCAATCGCCCAAGGCATACAGCTTTTCCCTTCGCTTTAAATTTTAAATGTATGTATTTTTCTCAGCAGCAGCCTGCCGTCTATGGTGGTCTACAGTCATATATGCGCACACTGCACAGTGGATGGACAGGGTGGGGCGACCAGGAATCCGGTTTGGGATGAGATTTGTTTGAGTTGGGCAGGCGCAAGCAGGCAAAATCAACACGGTGCTCTACATTCCCGACTTGACTGTGACTATGTCACTATGTCATTATGTCATTCATTATGTCCTGTCCTATACTATACTATTTACTATTTTTTATAGTAATAGTATCCGTATCCTAGAGTCCTATAGGTCCTATAGGTCCTATCCCTATAGTCCTATAAGTATGCTGCGCAGCCTCATTGACATCGCAAGTTTCACACAGACTCAAGACAACTCAGGGCCTGCGGGCTTTGGAGTTTTAGGACCAGGCTGCCCACACGCACTTTCCAGATCGCAGAATCAGTCAGGGATGAATTGAATGCAGCTCCTCCTGGCCGCTCAGCATTGGCATTGGCTTCGAGCGTCGGCATGCTGCTAGGGCCAGTTTTTTTTGCAAGCATGAACCATTTGAACAGCAAAAACCGTCAGACATCAGAATTGTCCAAGCTTGAAACAAATGTCACGCTGGCACTTGATTGGACAGTGTGCACCCGGACATATTTTGGCTGCAGTGCCAACTGGTAGCTAGCTAGCTGCTAGTGAGCATTCACGTTAGCTGCTGGCGGGTAGTAGTTGGTTGTGTGTGGCAAGTGACTGCAGTCACTGCCTGTTTTTTCCTGAAATACAGCGACTTTCAGAAGCCAGTTCTAGGCCGAGGCCCAAAGCACATTGTTTGGTATTGTTCTTTTCTCGTGGACAAACCACAAGCACGTTTCCGCGCATTACGGCTATGTTATTTGTTTCCTGGAAGCAGTAAGTGCCGACAACTCACAACGGATCTGCCACCGCAGTGCTGTGCGAGCGATGGCAGGGCCAGAAGATCCGGATGAAGATTGGGCTGCTTTCGCATCCCAATCGTTGGAAGATGGCCGAAGGGAGGAAAGCTTGCAGATTCTTTCACAAGACACTTCTGAAGCAGATGCATGCAGAAGTAGTGCCTCAGATGAGGGTGATGATCCTGTAGAGATGGCCGCTCCGTTTTTGCCACCCTCGCCGGATGATGAAGACGTTCCATTGAAGCCAAGCAATGGAGATGCATGGTGGGTGAAGTTGCTGAAGACACACACCGCAAACAAGAAGCCAGGTGGCGTGGTTCCTTCCGGGCTGGTGACGGTGCTGAGTGCGTGCAGTGGTGGCCTCACGGAGGGTTTCGTCCTCCAGGAGATTCGGCACCTTAGGAAAGGGACAGTGTCATAGGTCATAGGTCATAGGTCATGTCATAGTGAGTGTCATAGTGACATAGTGTCTGTCATTGTCATAGTCACATAGTCATAGTCACATAGTCATAGTCATCATAGTCACAGTCAGAGTCAAGTCATACTCATAGTCACAGTCCTAACCGTCCTTGTTATACTGTTATAGTTATAGTAATAATATAGCAATAGTAATAGTCATAGTCATAGCCATAGTCGTAGCCCATAGCCATAGATGTAGTCATAGTAGTCGTCGTGGTCACGTGTCAGTAGTCATCTGCATGTTTGGGAGAAAGAAATCCCAATCAAGAGTCTACAGTCTACAGCATGTCCAAAGTTCGAGTATTCTGATTCTAGATTCTAGATACAAATCATTTAATGGTTTTTCCATTGAAATGTGGTCACCGTGTCACCATGGGTCACCAGCAGCAATCCTTTAAGACTTTAAGAGAGATGTATGCATTGAATCCACACTCTGCCGCAGGACCTTGGGATCGACTTCAAAGTGGTTTCTGTGTCAGATCCGTGTCGGGCCTATCGCGAGTTCTGCTGCGCAAACCACGACAGCATTGAGCACGTTCATTTGAATATGTCAGACCAGATCCATGGCGCAGCTTGTGAGAAGCATTCTCATGCAGAGAGTTGCGTGATCCATGATGAGCCAATGCTTGCGGTTTTGGGCACCCCGTGCCCTCCTTTCTCAGTCCAGAGGGCAAAGCGGTTCAAGAGTGGCACAGTGAAGCATCACAAATCATACAACACAACTTTCGAATCCGCGCTGCTGTTCCTGGAGACCTTTAACCCTGTAACGGCGGTCCTCGAGCAAGTTCCAGGGTTTGATCAGTTCGAGACTGCTGGCGATTCAGTGACACCGTTGGGAAGGCACCCACCCGCACTGTTTGCTGATTACTTCTGATTGATTGCTTGTTACTGTTACTCTTTGCGGCTGTGGCGGTAGCAGTTTAGGCGGTGTTCAACATCAGCGGCAGGTTTTTCCGGGTAGCATTTGACAGAATATGCAGTTTGTTTGGTCAGTCGATGTCAATGTAGTGAGTGACTGATTGTCAGCAGAGCTGCTTCATGCAACCCATGCGCTATGGCTGTCGGCCAGGTTCCTGCAAAAGCTGTCGGTGGCCAGCTGGATGACGATGTCTCGAACAAGGCAGGGTTGATTGCCACTTCTCGGAAATGGTTGAAGGTTAAAGTTAAAGTATCGAAGCACGTATTCATTTGCGCGAGAGTTTATCAAGGGTACAGGGTACAATGCAATTATAATTAAATTCAGGAGGTTAGCTAGCAGCTGTTTGCTTCAACTTACTGTTAGGCCCGTTAGGTTAGGACCAGTTACCAGGTGGGAATTTAGAAAGTAGGAATAGGACCATAGGAAAGTTCATCGGCATCTGTTGTCAAGATGAAGCGTGACATGTTTCGCCGATGATTGGACCTCAAGGCCACCCCAACCTCCCCATACACAACTCTATGACTCTATGGCTATGGTGACTATAGACTATAGACTCATAGGTCATAGATTCTGTTCTGTAGTCACTGTAGTCCCTGTAGCCACTATCACTATAATCACTATAATCACTATAACCTCTATACTCTATAGACTCCGATTAAACACTAGAGTCATTAGAGCCACTAGAGTGACTAGAGACTCTACATCTATATTATTTCCACAAGAAGTTTTGCATAAGTATAGTGCAATCTCCAGACAAGCTTCAGTCCCATCTTGTTCTTGTTCAATCATATGTAAGACCACAGTTTCTATTCCTTAATGTTCAGGCGAGCAGCTGGCAGCTGCTGAATATTTGTTCCAGGCAGCCAGGAAGTGTGACGTGACGTGACTAGCCAGTAATCCTTTTTGCAAAGAGGATTCATTCAGTGGCTTCCGAGTCTCGTTGAAATGCCTTGTCATCTGCCGCCACTAGATTCACCAGATGCCATTGTCTAGCTAGCTTCAGGGTTTGAGGGGCGGGGTTTTGGAACGACGGGTTTGGCAAACGTTTTGCTCCGATCTTCTTGTGGCTCGTCACACAGCTGGCAGTGGTGACATTTTAGGCTGGTGAGTGGTTGCTACGCGGCGATTGCAGCCGGCATAGCCACATGTGTCGTACAAGTCAGTGGTGGTGCTGCTAGGCCAGGCTAGGCTGCTGCTAGGCTTCCATCCATGCTTGGCAATCAGGGCTTTGTTGACGAAGCTCATAACACCAGCTTATTGTGTTTATGGAATCTGAACTCTAAATCTCTAAATCTCTGAATTCGAAACTCTACCTTCTTCATTCTCTAGACTCTCTAGACTCTAGTGACTCTAGTCAAGCTATGTAGTCAACGTAGTCTCTAGCATCTATCGAGAGTCTAGAGTCTAGAGTCTAGAAATAAATATGGCCAATCTTTGCTAGCTAGCTAGCTGCTGGCTAGCAGCTGCTTTTGATGGACAACCCGGAAGAAGATTTTGAGGATTCATGGGCAAGCTTCCTTTCGAGCCCTTCTGCAGATGCGTTTCAGTTGCAGCCCCAACCTGCAAGAGAGGCATGCAGCTCGCAGCCCAAGAGAGGCAGACCGGTCGGCTCCTTTGGCGGACATGGATACAGACGTGATATGAAGGCAGCAGAAGCAGCCGCCGCTGCGCCGGCCCCAGTGGCCCCAGTGGTGCCCAGCAGAGGGTCTGAAGGGTGTGCCAGAGCCAGGGCTGCAAAGGCTGCCAAAATTGCCAATGTTCGGCAGCAGCAGCTAGATTCAGACGAGTTACGGTTACAACACTTGGACTTTGATCAGCCCTTGCAGTCCGGTTTGTTGCAGTATCGGAGAATCGGGTCTGATTTGCAGCAGAAGCTGCTGTTGGAGGCGACCCGAAGGTTGTCTGGAGAGCAAACCTCGTCGACATCAAGCAATGCCAGCAATGCGTATGTTCAGAAGCTCCTGCATAAGCTACGGCCCGTGATGTCTTTCACAGCACAGGCGGTTCATGGCGACTCAGATATAGACGATAACCGCCACAACGCCAAGAATAGCTTGTTGCGGGCTGCAGCGGCGATCATGGATGGAGCAAAGATGGTGTGTGGCAATTTTTTCTGTGTCGTGCAGGGTGCCATGCAAAATGGAGCCGAACTCTTGCTTCTAGTCAAAAAACGCCGCTATGACGAGACTCCTTTGCGGCTGCGTGCCAAAGCAAGACAGGAGGATGACGATGACGAGAAGGCCAAACCCATGAAAGTCATTCAAAGCGAGATGTCCGTGGGTGTTTTGCTTAAGCGATGTGACAAGTTCATGTTTGTCAAGACAGTGCTACCAAGCCAATTGCATGTTGCTGATGCGGTCACGGCCGAAACGCTGAGGGAGTGTCAGCAGAGGCTGGAAGACATTCCAGAATTGGCCCGGCTGGCACTAAATGCACGCTTGAAGCTGCAGCTGGTAGTGACAGACCGTGCCGCATCAAATATCAAATGCGAATCTGGTATTCAGCTGCACGATGCGACGTGGACAAAAGCACATGTATTTTGCAAAGTGCACAAAGTTGCGCAACAACAGTCGGCAACATCAAAACTTTGTGATGGCCATATCTCAGGTTTGGTCAGTTTGGCGCTTGGCATGCAGATGGCAGGAAGCACCAATAAAATGCGCAAATGCTTGATGGTAGTGCTGCGGAAACGAGTGCGTGTGCATGTAGGCACTCCTCCACTGGACCCGGCCAGAGACGAGTATCGCAAGGAGGTTTACGACCTCTGCCTGTCCAAATGCTGCACAAGGGCAGACCGAGCTGAGCATGAGGCTCAGCAAGCCAACAGACTGAGGCAGAAACAGCGTCTTGTTTTCGAACATTTCTTTCATGGAAGCGACTTTCGACAGTATTTCATTGACCTTTTCATTCCTCAGCTTCGAACTTTGGAAGACATCTGGAAAGAGCTCGAGACAAGCCTTGTGCCCTATTTGCTCCCGCATAGATGTCCAATGTTCCATCGAAGCCGATGGACAGGGGGGGACCTGGCATTGGACTGGATGTTGCTCATGAGCCTCACTTTCGACTTGATGTCGGAGGTGGTGCCAATGTGGGCCGGTGCTGATATACCATCCGGCCCTCCAGGCCATGCCGCAGGAGCCGCAGAAGCTGAGGAGGACTGCTGGGAATCACTTTGCCAGGACTTGGTTCCTTCTGCAGAAGTCGGTGAAGGCGGGCAGCAGCAGCAGCATCTTGCCGCAGAGGCGGAGGTGGCTTCTGAGAGGCTCAGTTGGGCCGAATTCAATGCGGCCATGAAGAAGAAGGCAGCAGAATTTGCCATTCGGAAACCGGCTGGGGCATTGGCACTTCTGAGATCGGTAATGGAGTTAAACTTCAAGCTCCTTTACCATGCCCTGCACGTATCGTCGGATGCATGGCAGAACGAGCAAGCAGCCAAAGCTTCCAATGTTCCCTGCAGTCGCATCTTGGACGAGTATGCCGGCAAACATGTGCATCGCTTTGCAGACGAGCTTCAGGAAGCTTTCATGTCGGTGCCCAAGGCCATTCCACCGGCTGCATGTGCCAGGAACATGCGGACACTCCATTTCAGGTTGCTTAGCCGAGCTGGTGCTGCGCATCATCAACTCCTGGAGCGTTTCAGATGCGCTTTCCCCACTCAGATGTTTGGGGCCTTGCTTGGGAATACCAGTGTTTTGACTGCGAAGCCGTGTCTGCTGGATGAGCTTTCGACAAAGGTCCGGCAGATGTTTGGCACGCCAAGCTTGCTTGGCAGTGCCGAGGCTCGGGCAGTCCTGGCCTCGATAGCGGAGCTTTGGGAGCTGGACATAGCGGCTATAGAGGCAAAGCATGCTTCTGTACGTCGGGCATTGACTAGTCGGGGTGTCCAGGCACCACAGCCTTTTCTGTCAGTTGTCAGTGCCGATTTTGTTGTGCAACAATGTGCCAGACAAAATCTACAGCACTCGTCATGGAAGGACCAACAGTCTGCCAGGCTAGGGCGGTTTTCACGGCGCCCACAGACATCTGTCAGTGACTCCCAGAAGCAGAATGCGGCTGATAGCGATGCAGAAGAGGCCGGCCATGAGAGTGAGAACAAGAAGAAGAAACGCAAGCAGGAGCATGGTTCCAAACCCGGCGGTAAATGGAAAGCTTTTTGTGCTGTCAATGCAAAGGGAAAACAAATCAACAAGGAGGTCGGAAAAGAGCTGTCCGACCAGTACCATAATTTGCAGCCAGAAGACGATGCCTGGTACCAGGAGTTGGGCGAGATGGCCAAGGCTGCTGGATTAGCTGGACACAAGCCTTTTCCAAAGCAGCCTGCAGCAGAGCAGGGTGTGCTTGTCCATGCCCCTGAGCACTTGACCTCAGCCTTGTGTGCTTTGGGTTCGGACTTGCGCAAGCAAAGTGCAGCTCGAGTGGCCCGCAGCAAGCAAATTCAGGATGCGATTTCTGACATGGCCCCCTTTGACAAGCTTTCTCCAGAGCACAAGGAAGCTGTGCAAACAGTCTGCAACATCCGGGAGGCCGACCGGCAACACTTCAAGCGGAGTTCTTCTCAGGCGGATTCCATGGCGATGTTGCATTGGATACCGCCAGTTGCGCCGTTTGCAGAGGTGGCTGGCTTGCTTTTGAGTGTCAGTCTAGAGTCTAAAGTCTAGAGTCTAGAGTCCTAGAGTCCTAGAGTCTAGAGTCTAGAGTCTAGTCAGTCTAGTCTAGAGTCTAGAGTCTACAGACGTAGACGTAGACGTACGTCGTAGTCGTAGTAGTTACTAGTTACTAGTTACTAGTTTACTAGTGACTTGACTAGTGATTAGTGACTAGTGACCAGTGACTAGTGACATGACTAGAGTCACTACTATATAGAGTTTAGAGATTCTAGAGTCTAGAGTTTAGAAGTTTCGAATCTAGAGAATCTAGAGTCTGGAGTCTACAATCTAAGCAGGTTTGTAGTCTAGAGTCTAGAGTCTAGACGAGTGGTAGTCTAGTCACTAAGTCTAGTCTAGTCTAGTCGAGTTGCCAGTTTGTCACATTTCAGCTGCCCATTTCAATTTTGTCGCAGGCCGCACTTGCGGATCCCAGAATGCGTGGTCGAGGAGCAACTGCTGGACTTAAAACGGGTTTGGGTGAAGCTTGGGAGAAATGCCACAACATGATCGTCGATGAGACATTACCCAGAATCAAAGATTCAGAGTTGGCCGATTTGTTTCAGGCTACAGAATGCCATCGACCTTCCTTGTGCGTTTGCCATGGCAGAGGCCAGCAAGCAAAATTGTGCTGTGACAAGACAATTCAGTTGATCAGACCTTTTTCTTGCAGTTAAGAAGCGGACGCGCGGTCCGGACAATAAGTATGCTGGCCGAATCTGCCGAGCTCATTGTTTGCTTCTCGGAAGTGGAGGAGGGCGAGAGCAAGGATTCCGACCGGCAAGCCGAGCACCACTGCGATGGCTGGGCTGATTTTTTAATGGGGGCACCGGCCGGTCAGACCGGCAGCTGCATTGAAGAGAGACAGGTGCCATTGCCGATGGAGCCTTCAGACAAGATTTGGTTTCATTTCGGTTATGTCAATTTCCGATCTTGGGAAAGTACCGGCTTGTGTTTACATGATTGCCCCTCAGATTCAGACTCTGGGGGAGAGGCTGGGCAAGAAGGGCGGCATGAGAGCTTGCAGACATTGGTTGTGCACGACGAGGAAGTGGTTTTTCGGACTCTGTTGGAGACCATGCATGCAAAAATGGATTTGAATCGCTCCTGGCATGCTGAGCTTTACGAGATCGTGTCATTGCCCATTCTTGTGCGGCATGCCAACATGAAGCCGGATCGTGTTCAGGTCTGGGCGATGCGGATGAGTGGACACGAAGCTCCGCTTCTCGTCTGGAAGGGTGCAGCTGCGGAAAAAGCAGAGCGCGAAGCTGCTGAGCAGGCGAAGAGGACACGGGACCAACGAGCTCAGGCAAAGCCAAAGCAGCAGCGAGGAGCAGAGCCTCGCCTACGTCCACATCTTCCTGCTTTGATGGTGCAACAGCAACAGGCATCCCATTCGGCCGTGCAGCCAGAGCCTGGCGACCAGCTACCGTCTGAACCGGCACCGCCTTCGCCAGACTTTCCTGATGGTGTGCCAGACCAGGACCTTGGTGAGTGTGAAGTCTTGGACTTTGGCTTCGACCTGTCGGATTCGGAAACAGAAGCCACGCCTGCATGGCTGAAACAAGCTTCTGAGATTATCGACTTGGAACTCCTGGCGGCATCTGCGCTTGATGCTGAGGCTGAGGAGGATGAACTCCTTGAGGAGAACAAAGCAGATGATCCACAAGGTCGGATGGCGATTTCTTTCTAAATCAGGATGCAAACTGCATAACAGAACACGACATGAAAGTTTTTAAAGTAAGTTAAAGCTGAACTAGCTAGCCGCCGTTAGCCGCTAGCCGCTATTAAAGCAGCTAAATACACAGCTGCAGCTAAGCCAAGCCAAAGCAGCTACGCACCTAAGGCAGCTAAGGCTAAGGCAGCTAAGGCAGCTTAGGCTAAGGCACCTCAGCTAAGGCTTCGGGCTTAGCCCTAGGCCTAGTCAGTTTAGGCTAAGGCAAGGCTAAGGCTAAGGCTAAGGGATAAGCTGCCTAAGCTAACAGCAGCGAAAAAAGTTAGGCGTAGATTTAGGTTTGCTATGATATAGGTCCTAGGTTCATAGTTAGTCAGTTAGTCAATCACAGTTAGTCTAACAGTGTAACAGTCGAGTCTAACAATTGGTTAGCCAGGTTTAGTCTTAGTATATCAGCTTCAAATTTAGTCAATTTAACAATCCTCATACTTATTTGAGCCATATTTAGTAGTTTAGTCAAGTCATTCTCGTCGTAGTCTTAGTCTTAGCCTTAGTCTTAGTCTTAGTCATAGTCTGAATCAGTCTTTGTCAGTCATTGTCGTCCTAGTGATTGTCATCGTCATAGTTACATTGCTACATAGTTGTATAGTGTCTATCATGATAGCGAATGTGTCCCAGCGAATGTGTCCCGTGCCTGAGTCGGTCTTGCACATTCCGTTTGTACCGGTGCGACTCTGTTGCAGGTGCCGATTTGGCGGCAGCTGCGGCTGCTTCAACATCAGCAGCAGCATCCAGCTCGGGCCGGCCGGTTTCAGACAACACAGGTGCACATGGCCCAGATGGCCCAGGTGGTGTTGCAGCAAACAGGCTCCCTGCAGGGTCAAGGAATGTTGCTGACATGGTGGTTGATGTGCCTGGGGTGGGAGACATTCGCTACTACAGCAAGAACCAGGTCTTTGTGGCTTCCTGTCGATTCTCTGCTGACCTGCAGCAGGAAAAGGACTGTTAGAGCTGCGCCCAAGCTGGCGAAAGATGTGCACAGACGCTCCGGACAAGGCCGCCCCTTAGGGCATCTCATGCGGTGGTTGGAATGTGGATGCGAGGCCGAGGACCAGCCGCAGCATGTGCAGCATGCCAGATGTTTTGATCGAGAAGAAAGAAAGCTTGCTAGGGCAAGACTTGCTCTGTTGCCGGGGGCTGACACTTTGCTTGCAAAAGAACGACCTCGGCTGGAATGGGAATCCGACGACGAACCTCGAAACATTTGAGTGTTTCAGCGACTGCAAAGGCATTGCTATTCAGTCTACTCAGACTCAGACTCGACTTAACTTGCAGCTTGCTTCTGCTTTTCCGATATGCCTCAGTGATTGCCACCGGCTTTCCTTTGCGCAGCTTGGAACAAGTGCCATCAGGCCGTTTTTTCGTAGCCGCTCATTAGTTCATTATAATTATAATCATAATCTGACTGAATGAATGAATCTATCCATCTAACCTAACTGCTAACTGTTCTCTGACTCCTCTAACTCTAACCGACTCAACTCTAACCGTTACCGTTACCTAACTCTTTAACTGCTATCTGCTATCTCTAACTCTGACACCTGTAACTGTCGCCTGGCAGCCTCAGCCCTGGGCCCCAGGCCCATATATTGCCATATATTACATATATGCCCTAGGCCCTAGGCTCTTGGCCCTAGGCCCAAGGTTCCAGGCCTTCAGGCCCCAAGCCCTAAGCTTGCCCTAAACGAAAAAACCCTGCAGCCCCAAGGCCTCAGTCTTGAAGCCCCAGGCCCAAGCAGCCCAAGCACCAAGCTACGGTAAGTCCAAGGCCAGGCCTTAGGCTAAGGCTAGGCCAGGGCCCTGAACTTTAAACCCTAAGCCCTAAGCCTTAGCCATAGCCGCTATGCCATAGCCCTAAGTACTAAGTTACTAAGCCATGAATCATTATACATTTAATCCGGCCGGCTAATTGTAATTGGATAACTGGACCATGAACCAATCAAAAAAAATAATAGATTTTGTGGCTTAATTTTAACAGTTACTTTAACTAACATGCAATGTTTGAACCCTTTGAAAGAATGTCCCAAGGCCCAAATCACAAGTCCCAGTCGGGAGCTCTACCCAATTACTTTAGGTCTCTAGGACCCTAGGACCCTAGGACTCCAGGACCTAGGACTCCTAACCTTTCGAGCTGCAGCCATTAAGGCTTCAAGATAAAGTTCTTATAGTATAGTATATGCTGTATGCCCTATGCCCTATGCCCTATGCCCTTTGCCCTAAGCCAATGCCATAAGTCATAATCCAGTCCCGGGACCCAGAACGGAGCTTAAAGGCTTAAAGCCGGACCCTAAACTCCTAAACACTCCAAACTTTATAGTGCCGGATGTCCTGTGACAGGATCTATATCGCCTTGTTCCGGAAAGACAAGTACGATCCAGCTGATGTGGAGCTGTTCCAGAGTGTGATGCAGGAGATGCTCTGGCAGCTGGCAGCAGTAGATTCAGTAGCTTTAGTAAATTTAGTAGATTCGATTCAATTTGTTCGAAGATTGAAAAGGTTCAGGAATTCGAGAAGGGATGGCCGGTGTTGAGTAGATTGCTTGCTCTTTGTTGGTGAGGCAGTAACCGTCAATAGCAGTTTTATCCGAATTGAGCAAAAGGGACATTGTTCGGTAGTGCTGCTAAAGTGTTGCTAGAGCTAATTGTTATACAATTGATTGTTGCACAAAATGCAAGATTCAAGAAGCTTTTGGAAAATAACCATCAGTGTCACTATCACTATAGTGACTATAGTGGTGTCTTGCTCCTTCCAGTCGGTACATTCACCAGATTCACTAGCAGTCACTAGCTGCACTAGCTTAGACCTGGGGCCTAGACTCTAGATTCTGGGGTCCTGGGGCCTAGCGGTATTTGTGTGCTTGTGAGAGCAGCTAGCTAGCTAGCTTTTGGATCCTGCTATATGATTCTTCAATCCAACCGAATCGGCTTTCTGGTCAGCAAGCCAGTGGTAGCTATCCAGCTATCTATTCAAATTTAATCCTTAGCCACGCCTGACTAGTCCCCAACACAGAAGCTATCCGCTTTGTGATGTGGGCCAGGAGGTAAAGGAAGCGCAGGAGGCCGCCGGACCAGAAGATGCCGAACAGTTTCTATATGACGAGGAGCTTTCTGCTGTTGATACTGATACTGATACTGCTGCTTTGATCAGGGGAGCTGCATTTCTGTTTGCAGAAAGAAGGCTTGTCCAGCTCATTTGCAGCATCCATGCTGCCGTGGTCTAGCTTGCATTCTTTTGTCGCTGGATGAGATCATTTCCCGGACTGAACCGATGTGCGACATGTCCC